GGGTGTAGCCACAAGCTCATAGCTGGAGAAGCCCACCTCTGGGGAGGTCAGGTACGAACTGAACTGCTCCGGCCTCAGCTGGATTCGATAGTAGTTCTTATAGATTGTTTCCTGGGGGAGAAAGGCAGGGGACCGCTTCAGCTTGCTGGCTTCTCCCCTGGTGTAGAATGATACCCACCCAGGGGACCTTGTTAAGCAAGTACTTCTCTTTCTGCTTCCTCGAGGCCTTTCTTGTCCCAGCTAAAGGAAGGGTATCCCAATATCCATGTGAATCCCAACTCACCGTGAGCGTCTTTCTCTTGCCATAGGATGACCAAGGTTGGGGCTCTAGGACCAGGATGCCCCCAGGATGTAGATGCCGGTAGATGCGGCGGAACATGCGCTTCAGCCCCTCATCTCCCCAGTTCAAATGCACCCATTTGGTGAGGCTGAGGCAGAGCACCACGTCATACTCGGGGGCTTGGGCCTCCACCAGCTCATCGCGATCCAGCACGTAGTTACCCTGAGGGCAAGAATGGGGGGCAAGGTCAAAAGAGGCAATGAAAGAACCACTGCCCACCCCCCACCCACCCCCCATCAACCTGCTCTGCAGCCTCTAGACAGAAGGTCCTACAGCCTTGCCTCAGCCCTTGGCCACAACCTTCTCTGACACTTGTCAGACTAACTCCCAAACGGTGCCCTCTTGGGTCTCATTTTCCTGTTTACACCCTCCTGCCCCTGCTTTCTGTTGGTGGTAAGCCAAACAAAAAGGGAGCATGGAGAATTTTAAATTGAGCAAACTACCCACAAGGTCTCCAAAACTGGGGTGAAACTTCAGAGAAAGAACAAAGGTTCTCCCGAGACACTGTCCCACCCCACAAACATTAAGTTGAGTGACTCAATGTTATGCAAAGGGACCTAACCCAGGTTTTGAAAGGGAACCAACCTGTGGTTCCTTCCCTGGAGTTGTGGCTGGCAGAGTTCCAGGTCTATTTCCTTTCTCAAGGAGAAGTAAAGAACCCTAGCCCTTAGGAAACCTTTTCTAGGTGATGTGCTCACAAAGTTTATTCTTGCAGGCTTAACCCAACCCGCCAGCACCACCCGTTCCGGCAGATGGCTGAACTGGAGTGTTCTACGGAGAGCTCTGTGTAGTCAGGGGACAGACACTCCGTGAAGACAGTACCCTCCCCTCCTGCAGAGCACTCTGACTCTTCCCTATCCCACCATCTAGGGTCAACATGAGATGGTCTCCGGCCAAGTCACTTGAGGTCCTGATCACCAACACTCTTCAACCAACTCCGGATCTAAGTCCCTATCAAAATTAGTCAGCCACTAACCTATCCCTCCACCCACCCCAAGACATGCCACGTCTGACACCTGTCCCTTCATGCACCTTCATTCAGTGCGTTGGAGGCCAGTTTTCCATCTGGACCAAATCTAGCAAGCAGCAGCAGCCAGCAAGGGAAGTTGGACTGGTTTGGATTACAGTCCAGGCCGGGAGCAGAGCAAAAGGAGTCAAACCCCATGTTGGGGCCAGTAGTCATGACAAAGGGGCCCAAGTGAGAGGCCCCACCTTTCCAGGTTATAGGAAAGGAGACACTCAGCAGTCATTCACCGACTTAAGGATCCAGTTCTCCTAGCAGAGTGCATGCATAAATTCCCCTGGGTCTTAACTTTCCTCTGTCTTGTTCCCATTTAATCTTATCTTCACACCTGGCCCCTATCCCAAGAGCCTTGGGACCCTCTTACCGTGACGAAGACAACATTGTTGGGGAAAACTGATGTGTCCGCTCCATCCAAGGGCACTTGGGGTGCAGCAATGGGACCCCGGCTGGCTGTCAGTGAGGCTGGGAAGCAGCTTCTCTTTCGGACGGTTACGGTCCCTTCCTCACTCTCTGCCCCGGGGTCCCCCTCAGAAGTCTGGGATGGCAGACGCAGCTCCTCAGACAGGTAGTGTCGGATGTTTTGGCGGGCCGAGTGGATGAGGCGGGAATCAATATCCAGGCCCACCATGCGGGATGGACCCCACTTACAGGCAATGCTCAGGGTCAGATGGCCCACATTGCAGCCCAGATCTAGGACGTCCCGGCCCCGAAACCACTCAGGCTTCAACACTCTAAGGCGCCCGTCCTCACAGGAAGGATTGCGGTAACCATAGTACTTGCAATAATTCCCATACTGGAACTTGAGCTGTTGCTTTTTGAAGCCTGCTGCAGGTAGTGGGTGGAGGTGGTGATGGTGGTGGTGGTGGTGGTGGCGGCCTCCCCCACTCCCTCGGCCCTTTTCCTTGGGACCCTGGCCTCCACCCCTAGCCCCTGCCTCTGACTTGCTGGAAGTCCTGCGACGTTTGCGATGTCGGGAGGAGGAAGACGGGGGTGCAGAGGTAACTGAGGCAGCTGGAGGGGCTGAAAGGGAGCCTGAGGGACCCTGTAGGGCAGATGGAAGGGGAGACACAACCTCATCCCTGCAGTTGATGGCGGTGTTGAGTTCATAGGGCTGGGGGGCATCCCGGTTCTGGCCCCTATGCCGCTGCTGCTGTGTGGTGCCCTCCCCATGGAGTGAGGGAGTGAGGGGGGCTGTGGGGAGCACAGAGTGGCTATCATTCCCTCCAGTTGCCTGCTGCTGCTGGTGGTGCTGTCCCCGGTGTCTATGCCGCTTCCGACCAGTCTTGAGTGGCGATGCAAGAACTACCTGGGCCTCATCAGTGCAAGTATTAAGACTGAGCGGGTCAGTAATATCTTTGGGGATGAGGATTTCCACTGGATCTCGCCCCTTGGCCGGAAGTGGAGATGACTTAGGGGTCTCTGCATTGAGTGCGCGGCTCACTTCCTCATCCAGGAGACTATTCAGGTTCAGTGGATCAAAGATATTGCCCCCCAGGAGAAAGTTGGAGGGTAACACAGAATCACAGTCCGAATTAACCCGCCTGCGCCTCTTGAAGGCCGGATGTTTGAAGCCTCCACCACCCCCACCTACGTTACAACTATTTCTCCTCTTGCCCCCGCCTCCCCCAGGGGGCCGGTGGGGCTGATAGCCATTACGGGGTCGAGGAGGGGCAGGGGGGCCCAGTTCTGTTCCGCCCCCTCCCCGTCGCTCCTCCCCCACGTCAGGGAGAGCTGCTCGCCCGTGGGGATCCGACAAGCGGGCCTCCCCATGCGACTGTGCCTGGGGGCCGCCCCCTCGTTGCTGCTGCGACTGGCCTCCCCGAGTGGATGTGGCCCCAGGGTTCTCCTTGCCGGCCCCAGAAGCTGGGGCTCCCGCCGAGTGTGCGCGCGGGCCCGGCCCACGCTGCGTCCCGCCGCAGAGCTCCCCGGAGGCGGCCTCTCGGTGCGGTTGCACCGTGGGGCCGCCCCCTCCGCCCGACTCATCTTTGAGCGGCGGTGGCGGGGCCGGCACCAGAAACGGCTCCTTCTCCGCCGCCATCTCGATCATTTCCCCCCCTTATTCCGTCCCAGAAGAGGGCAAGGGGGGGGGGGGGGGACTGGGGGCTTAACCCCCCCTCCCTAGAGCCCGCTCCCTTCCCCCCTTCCCTGGGTGCGCGCGCAGCCCTGCTCTTCTCGCCTAGTCTCGCGCCCAAGCACCTCCCCCGAAGCGCGCCCCACTCGCCCGCGAGACCAAAACAAGATGCCCGCGAGAACCGAACAACTCGAGGAATCAACCGCGCGTGCGCCGACCCCTTTTTCTTCTACTACCGCTTCGCCGCGAGCGCGCACTGCTAGAGCGCGTTCCTCTCGCCCCTGAATCACGCATGCGCACTCCGCCACCACCCTGGTTGCGCGCGCATGAGTACGAACCAACTTAACGGCTCCGGGAGTTTAAATATAGCCCACCTCAGCCCCCCCCAAAAGCCCACCACCCCAAACTGACACCCTACTTCCCTTCGCAGCTATGTCCGTCCCTACTGATATCCTTTGTCTCTGCCGCGCGATCCCACCCACCGTAGGCGGGGGACGGGGAGCTGGTGTGAAAAGGTCTCCTTGACACCCGACCCTTGCTCCTGAGGAATGAGTCTCAGCGGTCTCCGCCCGGCTCTAAACCCAGCAACCTCCCTACCCCGCCTCCTTCCTCCCCCTAGCGGGCAGCGCCTGCGCACACCCTTTTGGGCTTGCGCGGGTAGATGCAGCACGTGCTGGAGATGATGCCCCGCCCTCCACCCTAGGGGCGGGGACTGTTACGTCGCTTCCTCAGATTTGGTACACGCAACGTGCGTCAGCACGATCTGGAGGGGGCGTGGCCAAAGGATGGGGGTGGACCTCATGAATTATTCATAACTCGACCGCCTCCCCCCTTAGAAAGGCTTCCGAGGGAACGGAGGGGTGAACCTAAAAGTAGAGGAAGGGAAAGAGAGGAGCGTACAGATAGTTTTCCTACGAACTGTTCTCCGTAAAATACAATAAGTCATTGTAACTCACCCCCCTGGGAAATATTCTCTGCTGAACTGAAAAAAAAAAAAAAAGGCACTAAAACAGCCGATGTTGTCCAACTTCCTCTTCCCCCGAAATGGCCGAGTCGTTTTCTTGCTCCTCCGCGTTACCCCAATCGCGATCACCTGGGGACACCACGCCCTCCTCTCCGCGTCCACACCCACACCCCTGGCACCAGCACCTCCTCCCACCGCCCGACGCCTGCGCGCGAGCCCCCAGCCCGCGGATTGCGACCCGATGCCCACCACGGCCACCAGTAGCGCTACATTCAATACCACCACCGCCACCTCGCACGCAGGCCCTCCCAAACACACGCTGCCTTCACGCAGCCTTATATAAAAAGGAGTGTGGGCGGGGAAGAGGGTTCGGCCTGCTTTGGGCCCCCTGCCTCGGCCAATGGGGAAGAAGCTATTCGGCGCCCTTTCCACAGGGTGCTAAGGAGCTGCGTTCTCCCTGCCAACAGTGCCTGGGGAGTGGGTCCTGTGGCAGAGAAGAAGGCGGGAGAGGCGAGAGTGGGGTTGCGGATCGTCTCAACTAAAATATCCGGATAGGGCGCGAAGGAAACTAAAAGGAAGAACAGGAATCAGGAAACGAAAAGAGGAAGGAAAAGGCCGTCTGGGGTAGAGAGAAAAGTTAGTAAAAGAAAGATGTGCTTCATGAGCGATCAGGCGCTGCTTCTGCCGCCTAAAAAAGTGAGGCCACTGAGGATTATGGGATTTGTAGTTTCATGGGGCATTTGGTTGGAAGATGGCGGAAGTAGCAGCTGCGCAAACGCAGAAGCAGCTTTAACTGCGCATGAGCCCCAGTCCTGGAAGCCCGCCGCCGGGGTGGCAACGCCGCTAGTGCGTGTCTTCACGCCTTCTTTTGGTGGTGGGAATATTGACTGGGTCGGGGTTGGAGGGTTTTGCAGAATTGCTGCAGGGGCTCATTGTGCTCCTTGCCTTTAGGTCCTCCTTGTTCCAGAAGGTAGCTGGCTTTTCTCCAGTTGCAGATGAAAGTGCTAGGCGCTGCCAGTCCTCGCGCCCGTCGCCTGAGGAGTTTTCTCTTCAGGACGACAACGAGCTCTTACCCCTCCTTAGCATCCCTACCGCAAACCTACCCTCAGCAAACAGACAAAAGTGATCCCATATTGTGGCGGGCGACGACGGGCTGAGCGGGAATGAGGATGCTGGTGGCTCCCCACAGGGTGTAGGGGTGCGGGCAGCTGAAAGGAAATGATCTCGTGGCGGGGGTTCTTGAGGTGGAAGAGGGGCCAGCAAGCCACTGTTCATCCACTGAGGGGAGTGAAGGACTTTTGATTCTGTGGTACCTTCGCTCGTTATTACCGTCCTAAGAGCGAGTTGGTGAGAGAAAAGAGTGGGGAAAATGTGGATCCCCAGAAATTTTCCCCTCTGGGTTCAAAGGCGGAATTAGGGCTTTTACTGTTCCAGACCTCGGCACCTTGGGAGGGGAGATGGGGCAGGGATCTGGGGGTTCGTGGGAATGTGCTCTTTTAAGTGAAAACAATCCAGAAAAGCGACTTAGAGGTCGGTAACGGGCGCCTTGTGGAAGTGTTGCAGCCGGCAGGTAGCAAGAGTCCGAATGAAATCAGCGCTCACGAAGGAAAACCAGTATTTTGGTGCTAAGTGGCCGTATCTTTGCCCTCTGGACGAATAAGCTTCAGTTCATCATTAATTTATCTTATTTATTTATTTATTTATTTTGTGGAGAGAGAATTTTTAAAAAAAGATTATTTATTTATTTGACAGAGAGCAGGAGTAGGCAGAGAGGCAGGCAGAGAGAGAGAGAGAGAGAGAGAGAGAGAGAGAGAGGAGGAAGCAGGCTCCCCGCAGAGTAGGGAGCCCGATCCGGGGCTCGATCCCATAACCCTGGAATCATGACCTGAGCCAAAGGCAGAGGCTTTAACCCACTGAGCCACCCAGGCGCCCCTCGTCATTAATTTATTGATAAGATTCTATACAGGGTTTAGTTCAGGTAGTTACCACAGTAGGTGTCTTGTTACGTATGGGCAGTAAAGGTAGCCGGAATCTTGTTTTTATCTTCTTTCTTGTGAAATTATGCTCGCTGAGGGGTGGGGGGGGGGAGGAAAGAGTTAAAAACTCCACTATGGTTATTAATGGGAACATGAAAATAAGCAGGAGTCCAAATGCCATTAAACATTGATGCCAAACGACAATCAGACTCTAGCTTAAAGGAGATTTTAAAGTTTTCCAGGCTCAGTGGAGCCTGTGCAGACTGTGTGTCTAAGGACAATTCTGCAGGGTTTACATGTATTCTCTTAGACCAAAGATTCCAGGAATGATAGAAAGAGGGAATAATTGATAGTTAGGAGAGAGGAATTTGTGAGCACTTTCTAAATGGGGGGAAGAGGGTTAACAGTTTCTGAAAAATACTGACATAACTGAATTGTTATTTAGCTAGATCAGTTCTTAAGCTTATTGGTCTCAGAACCCTCCTATACTCTTAAAAATTATGAAGGATTCCAAAGATTGGTTTATAGCTACATATATGTCTTTTACATCTATTGGTATTAATATATTAAAACCTGAACTGAGAACATTTAAATTATTTAACTTTAAAATAACAGTATGTTATAATTAATAATAATGTGTTTGCATAAATGACATTTTATAAAAAGATTTTATTTGTTTGACACAGAGATCACAAGTAGACAGAGAGGCAGGTGCAGAGAGAGGGGGAAGCCGGCTCCCCGCCGAGTAGGGAGCCCAATGCGGGGCTCGATCCCAGCACCCTGGGATCATGACCTGAGCTGAAGGCAGAGGCTTTAACCCACTGAGCCACCCAGGCGCCCCATAAATGACATTTTTATGAAAAAATATATTTTCCCGAATGAAATTTAGTGTGAAGAAGGGTGGTGGTTTACATTTTTGCAAGTCTCTTTCATGTCTGGCTTAGTAGAAGACTAGCTAGGTTTTTATTTGTTTCTGAATTCAATCTGTTATGATACCTTGTTTTGGTTGAAGTGTATGAGAAAATCCAGCCTAACATGGATTAGTAGTTGAAAAGGGGAGGGGACCCCCCAGGGGTCTTTGGATCACACTTGAGAACTGCTGAAGGAGATGATTTCATCTTAAAATCACTGTCATGATGTTTAGTGTTTTTTTTTAAAGATTTTATTTATTTATTTGACACATAGAGAGAGAGATCACAAGTAGGCAGACAGGCAGGCAGAGGGTGGGAGGAAGCCAGCTGGCAGAGAGCCTGTTGGGGGCTCAATCCCAGGAGCCTGAGATCACGACCCGAGCCGAAGGCAGAGGCTCAACCCACTGAGCCACCCAGGCGCCCCATGATGTTTAGTGTTTTAAGTGAAAGAAAACTTACTCTTTTATGGAACACTTCATTCACCATCTCTTGGTTCCCTTCATTTGTTATTTCCAAGTTCTTTTCCTCATTTTCACCCTTCTTATGTTGAGTGGGTAGGATCTGATTAATGGAATTTTATTTTACTTTCATACTTAAAGCTCTATTGGACCCCCCCCCCCCCAAATCTGAGGTAAAAACAGAAATGAAACAAAACCAAAAAACCCTTCAGATGTTATTCCTGGCTCCAGAGCCCCTGGTCATTTAGTAGCTGGTCAGATGAAAGTTGGTGGTATTTTGTGTATTTATTAACTATCTGGTTTAAAAAAAAATTTTCTCTCTCTGCCCTACATTTTAATATTTCTTATTGTGGAAGAAGAAAATTCATCTGAAACAGAGGAGCAGAGACTTGAGTTGTCTGAAAGGGACTTCTTGGCTTTCCCCTCTCTGTTGATCAGGTTAGATATTTTCTTTAAAAGTAATGTTTTTCATCAAGCACACTCTAGATTAAGGGGAATTAACAACCCCGGGGCAGCAGCTCTTTCTGCCCATGGGTCCTGTCCTTGTGCTTTAACAAACCACAATTTTGCACCAAAAAAAAAAAAAGATTAGGGGGAATTATTATATAATACTGCTTATAAATTTACTGTATCTTATTAACAGTGATCCATGATTTTAGACAGTTGGTTGGGGCGCCAGTAACACACTTTGGCCTGGAGAGGTCAGTATAGGTTTAGGTAATGATTTGAACCAAAGTGCTGGAAAATTTTGCATTTTTAGGTGGATCAAAACACTCTATTTTATTTAAAGAATTTGGAATTTAAAAAATCACTTTTGATGTGGTAACATTGGCATATAATAAAATGCTAGAAATATGCAAGGGAGTACAGTAAAAAGCTCTCTTCTACCCCCAGCCACCGAGTTCTATTTCATAGAGACATTTTTGTCAGTTGCTTGTGTATTCTTCCAGAGACAGTTTATGGATATACAAGCATATTATGTAAATGCACATTTTAAAAAATCAAATGTTGTCATCTCAAATACACTAATTTTCATTTTGCTTTCCCCATTTAGTATAGCTCACCTTGTAATTTATATTACCTTCATAGGGACTTCTCATGATCTTTTTCGGAATTCTGGAATCTGGGAGAAGTGTTTGTCATTTGTGGTCAAATTAATATTCATTTTACAGCCTATCAGTTTCTAGTTTCTATATAGAATTATCAATAAAGAAGACCAATTTGCTGTAGTACTTCCCCGATTTCCCGCTTGCCTTTTTTTTCTAGAGTAAATAGACTTAGGGGCTGGTGATGATGAGTTAAGATGGAAATAGTGAGGAAATGTGCTCCTTGATGCAAAGGAAAAGTAGTTGCTATAGAACTGCACACCTGAATTATTCACATTTACAGAAGTAAGACAAGGAACAAAAAATAACCAAAGATAATTTGAAAATACATTTAGCCATGTTGTACACATACTAAGTCAGGCCCCCAATATCTTTTTTAAAAGTTTTCATTTATTTATTTGATAGAGAGATCACAGATAGGCAGAGAGGCAGACAGAGAGAGAGAGGGGGAAGCAGGCTCCCCGCTGAGCAGAGAGCCTGATGTGGGGCTCGATCCCAGGACCCTGGGACCATGACCAGAGCCGAAGGCAGAGGCTTAACCCACTGAGCCACCTAGATGCCCCTACCCAATATCTTTTGAATTTATCTTGGGATCTAGGGGGAGGAACTCCATACCCTGATCAACTGATTATTCACTATAATTTGGTCATTTGAGGGTCTTAAAACAGTCAAATCAGTTAAAGGATTGTGTACGTATCTTTTATAGAAGATTTATTTTATGCTGCTTTTGGGTCTCTTTATAGTGGGAGATGACATAGTTGGAAGATTGAGTTTTAGGTCCAGGGCCTTCAAGTTACTTAAAACCAACAGTGAGAAATGAGATCATTGAGAAGAATAGATGTGTTATTAGTAGAATTTAGAGGAAAAGGCCTGGGTTCATCTTGGCTCTACCATGTATTAACACTGAGGCTTTGGGCAAATCACTTAATTGCATTTTGCATATTTTTTCCATCTGTAAAAAAGGGGAGCTGGCACTTTGTGACCTCTGTAGACCCTCCCAGAGCTACAATGCTTGTTATAATTGTTATAAAAATAAGAATGGCTTACATGTGTTAAGCCTAAAGAAAACTGGGTGGAAGGGTTATAAGAAGTTTAAGCTGATAAAACCAAGGTCATTTTTCTTCTAATTGCTGAGTAGAAATAGTCTCAATAGTGAAAAGCAAATTGGAAAATAATGTACAAATTACTGCAATGTCATAAGATGAGTCTTGGCACTCTGCTAGACAGCAAATGGCTTATGGCTGTGTGCAGATACTGATCTCTTTAGCCTTGATATGGCTGGAGGTCCCCCTACTCCCAACCCTCAGTTGTCTTTGGCTGTGAAAAGCCTGATCCTTTTACTCCAGAATACCTGAAATTCAGTTTTCATTGTATTTCAGTGTGTATTTTTTTTAAAGATTTTATTTATTTATTTGACAGAGAGAGATCACAAGCAGGCAGAGAGGCAGACAGAGAGAGAGGAGGAAGCAGGCTCCCTGCTGAGCAGAGAGCCTGATTTGGGGCTCGATCCCAGGACCCTGAGATCATGACCTGAGCCGAAGGCAGTGGCTTAACCCACTGAGCCACCCAGGCGCCCCTTTCAGTGTGTATTTTTAATAGATGCTTTCTATGTGTGCTGTGATATTAAAATGGGTTTGAAGCACTGAATTAGACTGTTGAGATCTAGCATGCTATAGATAATAGTGCAAACTTTAACATCAGGTGGGTTCAAATCAATTATCACCTATCGATTACCTATTATGTCTAAATCCTTCTAAGCCTCAATTTCTCCAAGAGTAAAAAAGTATAGATCTCATAAATTTAAATTTATAAAATTTACAAATGTCATCTTATTTAAATAAGATTTAATCTTATTTAATTAAATAAATTAAATAATTAAATAAGATTAAATCTTATTTAAATAAAATGACACATGTTAAGGGTAAAGAATATAGTTGGTGCTCAGTAAGTGTCTTCTATTATTATTAGTTACAATTTTGGTAGTGATAACAAAGCATTCTGATGTAGTATAGAACATTTGAGTAGATAGCTGTAGGATATAGCGTGAAGGTGTTAGATTCCTATTACTAGCTTCCCTGGGGACCTCTGCTGGTTGCCAAATATTTTTGAGCCATGAATTGAGAGAGATTGCTAGAATTCAGCACACTGGAAAATGTATTGGACTAGGAGATCTAAGTAAAGGGCATATAAAGAGTATAGTGATGTTAAAAAGGGGGTTTCCTATGCATAGGGACCTCTGAATTAGGTCAGAGAATTGCCAGATTATTTGTGTTTTAAGTATTTAGGAGAACCTTGTGGGATGAGTTTATGCTTCTGAAGAAAACTCTTACTTTTTAACTCCCAGGACTGTTCATATTACTACTCCTCCTCCTCCTCCTCCTCCTCCTCCTCCTCCTCCTCCTCCTCCTCCTCCTCCTTATACTTCTATCTGTTAAAAACAAGACAACAGACCCCAAATGCAGTTGCTTCTATTAAGCCCCAGATCACCAAAACAAGACTTAAAGTTTTGGCTCTCCCAGAAATAGAATCTTGGTTTACAGCTCATCAGGGATCACCTGATGAGCACTAGTTAGGTAATCTACCTAACAGACCCCTACCATCTCCTACAGGAAAGTCGACTTGCAATAGCTAATTTTTTTTTTGGTCTAGTGTAACTTCCTTGTTCTTGCTTCTCCTGCCAGTACAAGTCTTTCATTTAGTACAGCTTCTCTGAGCTACTTTGTATCTTTTAGATCAAATGCTGCCCAATTCATGAAGTTGAATAGAGCCAATAAGATCTTCAAAATTTCCTCAGTAAATTTTTTTTAAAAGGTTTTATTTGTTTATTTGACAGAGAGAGAGAGTGAGAGAGATCTATCACAAGTAGGCAGAGAGGCAGGCAGAGGGGAAGGGGGAAGCAGGCTCACTGTTGAGCAGAGAGCCTGATGTGGGGCTCGATTCCAGGAGCCTGAGATCGTGACCTGAGCTGAAGACAGAGGCTTAACCCACTGAGCCACTCAGGAGCCCCTGAATTATAATTATTTTTTTAATGCATTGCTACCATTATCATTTCCACTGTTGACTAGTGCCTGCCTTATGTTGGACATAACTCTAGGCACTTAAAACACTAGGGATTGTTGTTTATCTTTAAAACAGTAACTCTCATTATCCTCTGGCATGTGATTGGCACTGAGGAGGTAGAAGTAAAGTCAAGAGGGCAGAAAATGTAGTTCAGGAGTCCCAGGCACAGAGCCTGAGCCCAAGAAGACAGAAGAAAGTTGAAAATCATGTTCAATTGGAATTCTAGCAGTTACTTTCTTTTTTCTAACAGAGGCACAAACAAAGTGTAGCTTCTGAGCTGAATAATGACATCATTGCGAAGCAAAGAAGGTGAGTCAAGAGTAAAGGAGGTTCACGTTTTGTACGTTTCCTCTCAGTTTTCCCTTTTTCCTCTGTCTTTGGTCGTCTCGATGCCCTTCCCACCAAAGGGAAGCTCAGTCCATATATGGTTTGCATGCACTTTGTTAAAGTTACTACTTTTCTAGAAACTTTGAGTGAAATGTATGTGACTTAGAAGCTGTCCAGCTCAGGAAATGTAGGAGCTCATAGAGAGACAAAAGACATTTTAATATCTAGAACACAAATTTAAATGTGGTAAATGCTACCAGAGAGGCACGAAGTGTTGTAGAAACTCAGAGGAGAAAGAGATTACTTATACCTGGGAGGATCAGTGTAATTTTCGCTGTAGTAGTTTGTTTTCTTTTTCTCCCAATTTTTCTAATCTCCCATAAAATTCTGTTTTAAGTTAAAATGAGCAAATTTTTAAAATTTCCGTTTGAATAACTCATCTTCTTGCATGTGCGTATTTGTCACCTTTGAGCTACTCAGTAGTTCCTAAACTTGGCATCAGAATAATCTAGACGGCCTTGTAAAACAACAGATTCCTATGCCTCATTCCCAACTATTCCATCTGAATCTCAGGGGGTGGGGTGGGTGGGAGAGGAGAGGTCTGGTAATCTGATTATGTTAAAAGCTCTCTGGATAATTAGGACGTGCCCAGTCAATGGGCAGTGCAAACACTTTCTGTGTTAGACTCTATATTTCATAAATCCCATTGGATAATCAAATTTCTTTCAGCATGTGGGAAGGGGCCAAAGAAAACCTTTGCCCCACCTGCACCAAAATTGCATGGCCTGATGTGCTATAGCCCTAAACCACCCAAAGAGGACACTGTGAGGATCAGTTCCCCAAAGGCCAGGTTAGAGAAGAAGGAAGAGAAAGCAACCACAGAAAATGGTCCAGGCAGTGGCCAGGAGAATAAAGGAAAACCTCAAGACAAGCAAGTAGAGAAGAAAGAAAAGGTATCAGTCTCATTGATGGGCTCTAGTGGGACAGTTTCGCCTAGATATCCAGACTAGACAATCTTTTATGTAAGGGAACTTGGAGTTTCTTTCTTTTTTTTTTTTTTTTTTTTAAGATTTTATTTATTTGTCAGAGAGAGAGAGAGAGCGAGAGTGAGCACAGGCAGATAGAGTGGCAGGCAGAGGCAGAGGGAGAAGCAGGCTCCCTGCTGAGCAAGGAGCCCGATGTGGGACTCGATCCCAGGACTCTGGGATCATGACCTGAGCCGAAGGCAGCCGCTTAACCAACTGAGCCACCCAGGCGTCCCGGAACTTGCAGTTTCTTATTCCTTTCTTGGGGCTTCTATTTTCTTCTCAAAGAGGTAGAATAAAAAATCTTGATGAAAGCCTTTAACTTGAAATAATGGTAGGGGTTGAGATGGGATGGAGGTAAGAGTAGAAGTAGTCAGAGACTTTACAAACTTTTCCTTTTCTTTGACTCCTTTATTCCCAGGAAATCCGGGGTAGAGTTTATAGAATCCTTAGGGACATTGACTTCATGCTTGCAACCTTGCAAACTTACTGCCTCATGTAAAGGAGTCTTCCCTGACTTGTCAGGGAGGAAACCTGGGGAAAGATGAGTGGGTTTCCTCCTCTGCCCTTGTCTCTGCAGGAAAGATCAAGTCTCACCAGTGCAGAATTTGAGGAGATTGTCCAGATTGTGCTACGGAAGTCCCTCCAGGAGTGCTTGGGTATGGCTTACAGTAAGGGAGGAATTTCAGTTAGACAAACTGTTATCTGAGGGGTAGAGTAAGTTGACAGCTTTTCTCCTTCCCTCCAGTTTCCTAAGTAAGGAAATACTAGATGGGCGTTGAGATAGTTTTAAATAGTTCATCTTCTACCAACAGGACTATAGCTAAACCACCTTAGACAGGAGGTATAGGCTCTTAGAAAAGTGAGCTACCTTGACTTCAGAATATAAATAACAGTCTCAGATTTGTTTTAAAATGTAACTTAAATTCCTTTTTACATGTTTACAATCTACTTAGAAAAGATAATTTGTATTTCTCAGATTGGAAGAATTTAGTTTCCATCTACTCTTGTGTATTTCTGTTTCCAATACTGTTTTAACATATGCTCAGGGATTTGACTTTTTGGAATAAAGAACTCTGTAGTAGGCCCTGAGCACTTCACCATATGACCTGAGGAGAAGGGGAAGGGGAATAGTCTGACATTTTTAGCTATTCTTAGATGTACTTCTTTTTTTTTTTTTAAGATTTTATTTATTTATTTGACACAGAGAGAGATCACAAGTAGGCAGAGAGGCAGGCGGGGGTGGGGTGGGGTGGGAGGGAAGCAGGCTCCCTGCTGAGCAGAAAGCCTGATGTGGCACTCCATCCCAGGGGCCTGAGATCATGACCCGAGCTGAAGGCAGAGGCTTAACCCACTGAGCCACCCAGACGCCCCAGATGTACTTCTATTCTTAGACAAAGTTTCAGGAACAAATGATATAAAACACAATATGTAAAATTTCTGGTCTGTACACAAAATAAAATTGATATTACCTAGCTATCCCTGGAAAGGCTTGCCGAAAAATACAGATTTGTAGTTTTTTCCCGAGAATTTAAAGACTTAAAGTTTGTGATACGACAAAACTCCAAAGGTGGAGTCTTCCAGACAACAGTGGAAGACATTTTGGTGGAAGCCTGCTGTTTGGAAATAACGGAGTCAGTATTTTCTTAATTGTTTCTCTGCTTATAGTATTTTGTTTTGGGAGAGATGGGATCTAGTCTTGATTTTACAGAGACTTCCCGTGCCCAGCCCTTAAGATGCACCCAGTTAGACAAGGAACCAGGAATTGCTTCTTCTACTGATAATGATAATGCTGATGGGTAAGTTTATCCCAGTGAGGCAAGTCGCTCACAGGGTGCACTTAGCATTGGTACATGGTTATCTGTCTGTCTAGTCATTCTCATATCTCTATGGATTTCTCTCAGCTCAGAAAAGATACATGTTTGAACTGGGAAAAATAGGCACTAGATGGGTAACATGACCTCAGGAGGCCTTAGAGAGCCTCGGATTCTTCAATCATCCTGACTTTTACCCTTGGGTTCTTTTCAAAAGGAGGGTATGACAAATTCCTCCTTTTTTGCCTTTTCATTAAAGAAAAAAAATATTATTTTCAGAGAGAGGGTAATGGTACCTCATATTCTAGAGATTTCAGCCACTAAGGAAGCTGGAGTAAGCTCTGTGATAAAGACATCTAAGCCAGGCCAGCCAGATCCTGCCCCCTCTGAGAAGAAATGCAACAGACCTTCCCAAAGCAAAGGAAAGAAGGGCGCCCGTAAGTATAGTTGGATGTACTTTGACATCTGGCTCAAGAACCTATGGCATGGAATTAGGGAATGGGATGGTGGGCAGGCAGAGAATCTTCAGCCAGGACTTGAAACTATTAGGCTATGATTCTTTTTCATTATTTCACCGGCCCTTACTATCTACAGAGATTCTCTTCATCTCCCTCCCCTACAATGTTTTGTTTTGTCTTCCCAGAAGATGACAAAATGGAAAAGGTCCAAAGTACACACAAGCAGAGACAGAAGGACCAACTGAAAAAAACAGTTCAAGATGATTCTCAGACCAGGAACCAAGAAAAAGGAGAAGGCAGTGGTTTTGGTGAGCTCAGCATGATTTGGAAAACGTACCTGGGCTTGAAAAATCGAAGATAGAGATGGAGAGAGGCAAGGATTAGGTTGCTGGAGGAAATTCTGCAAAGACTGTAATTTATCTCTCACAGCTACTTGTCAGGGATATCCGCTGTGGAAGAGAAAGATTTCATTAATTCGGTTATTCAGCCGTATAATCCATACTTGTTGGGTGCTTACTATATACCAGGAATTTTAGGAAGTGCTGAATGAACTCAGAAGAAATTGTTCTATGCCTGTTGGAAGGGAAACAGGCTTGTGAGGAAGGCAAACAAGAAAGCTGCAAGTTGGGAGTAGATATAGAGAAGTTTCCATGAAAAGATACTGTTTGAGCCATATGTCAGAATTATAATTTAGTCAGGTGAACTGAGGTGGGGTTGGGAGTCAAAGTGATATTTATTGGCAGAGTTATGGAGGAGAGCTAATGGTTGTAGCTTTTGGGTGTGTGTGTGTGTGTGTGTGTGTGTGTGTGTAGTAGTAGTAGGTTGTAGGGAGAGATAAGGCTAGAGGCATGTAAGGGCCGGATCATAAAGGGCCTTACATATCAGGCTAAGGAATTTGGATTTTATTTTAAAGGTAAAGAGGAACCATTGGCATTAAATAGGAAAACTTGGTAAGATTTAGTATTTTAGAAAGCTCACCCTGACACACAACTAGACCCACAGAAATAGTGATCCAAGTGAGGAAGATAGACAGTAGCAGTGAAGAGGAAGAGACAAAGTTGGGATTTTTAGGAGGAAAGATCAGTATGATGTGGTTGTCAATTAGGTCTAAGAGGTGAGGAAGAGTGAGGCCTTCAGGATGATCCTGTTTTCTGGCCTGAGTGGCTGAAAGAACCATCATTTGAAATGGAGGCTATAGAAGAAAGAGCACATTTCAGATGGTGAATTCAGCTTTGGACAAGTTAGAGGGGTCTGTGATGAGCTTTAGCATCCGAGAAAGAGGTCTGGGCCGGGAATACAGGTTTGGGAATCTGGATGAAATTTTCTAAGATGAAGACATGGAGTGCAAAGAGAAAAGCTATGGGTAGAAACCCCATAATTTTTAGGTGGAACATAACGTTTGGGCTTGAGCAGAGAATGAGCTGCACAGGGAGAAAACGAAGAACTAAGAGAAAACTTTTGAAGGTGGAAAGAGGTCTAGGAGAATATGACATCACAGATGCCAGGGGAGGAGAGAATTTCAAGAAAAAAGGAGTGTTTATCCTTGTCCAGTGCTGCTACAGAGACATCAAAGAGGATAAAGATTTGAAAATGCTCAGTGATGTTATAATTAGGACGTTACTAGGGTCTTGACTAGACCACCCATATGGGTTGGTAAGGGTGAATTGCCAGTTTAGTTGGTTGAAGAATAAGTACTTTTTCAATTAGTTTAGATGTGAAAATCAGGATGAAGAAAATGGTAAATAGAAGGGAGTAGATAGAGTCGAGGGAAGGTTTTTCTTTCTTTTTTTTTTTTTTTAATTTTCTTTTACAAGAAAGAGACTTGACCTGTCTGTCCTTAGTGTATGTATATGCTGAAGGAAAATTGTTTATGAAGAAGGAGAGGTTGGGGTGACTGGGTGGCTCAGTGGGTTAAGCATCCCAACTCTTGATTTTAGCTCAGGTCTTGATCTCAGGGTTGTGAGTTGAAGCCCTGTGTTGGGCTCCACTCTGGGCATGGAGCCTACTTAAAAAAAAAAAGAAAAGAAAAAGGAGAGATCGAAGGGAATGAGAAGAGAGCCACAGGCCTTATTCTTAGAAAGGACACTTTAGCCTTTGAGATTAGAAGGAAGGAAGATAAGCATGGATACAGATTTATTTATTCTTTTAACCATAGTTATTAATGCCTTATGTTCTATTCCAGGCAGTGTGCTAGGATTTAGAAATACAGTGGTGAACAAATTAGATAATCCTTTCTTTCATAGAACTCATAGTTTTAGTGTATTAGGTAATAAAGAACTGTAAGTTATAACCATGGTAATTTGGGGAAATTTTATTTTATTACTATTATTTTCTTAAAATTTTATTTATTTATTTGACAGAGAGATAGAGAGCACAAGTACACAGAGCAGCAGGCAGAGGGAGAGGGAGAAGCAGGCTCTCCACTGAGCAGGGAGCCCGATGTGGAGCTCAATCCCATGACCCTGGGATCATGACCTGAGCTGAAGACAGCCACTTAACCAACTGAGCCACCCAGGCGCCCCTATTAATTTATTTTTAAAAGATTTTATTTATTTGACAGACAGAGAAAGACAGAGAGAGAGGGAACACAAGCAGGAGGAGTGGGGGAGGGAGAAGCAGGCTTCCAGCTGAGCAGGGAGCCCCATGCGGGGCTCCATCTCAGGACCCTGGGATCATGACCTGAGCCGAAGACAGATAACAACTGAGCCACCCAGGCATCTCAATTTTGGGAAATTTTAGAATGAGAAATAAAAGAGATCAAATGATATGTTAGTATGTTTAAATTTTTGAAAATAAATACAGTTAACAATTGGAGAAAACAGGCTTGCATCAAAAACAGACTTGTACATACTTGAAAGAAAACTCTGAAAAAGAAAAAAAAAACCTCTAGGTATCACACAGGATAGTCCAAGGCAATAAACTGCTCTTGTTATAATGACATGGTAACATAAGGAGTGGAGGTGTAAGTCTCATTTGGGCGGTTGGGTGGTCTGGGTGGTGGTGGTCCATCTCCCTCACCTCTTGGTATTAGGGAAGGATTGGATTTTCCCCTGGGAAATGGAAAGTCCACTCCTTTTAGGCAGTGTTCATTGAGTTGAATTGTGATTGGCATGAATGTGTAAGCCTCTGGCTATAAACGAACTGCTCTTCCTGTTTCTGCCAGTTACCAGGGACAGGCGAGTCCTCCTGGAAAGAGAAAGGGCAGTATCTGATAAATACAGTCCATTTGTGTGAAGTGAGGGAAAAGAATGGAGTGTCATCGGAGGAAACAAGGGAGACCTAATCAAGATTGGGCCAGTCAGGGAATGCAGCTCTAAGTAGATGGCCGTTGAGCTAAAATCTGAAGGAGGAGCAGGAGTAGGAGAAAGAGTTTAGGGAGAGTACAGTTTGGTATAATCCAGGCATTAAAAGGATCGTGATTGGAGTTCAGAGAGCAAGGGGAAGCGAGGCAGGAAAGTGAATCTGGATGAATGTACAAAGTGAAGACTTTATCCTCCATGCAGTAGGAAGCCACGGACGAGTCCTCACCAGGGGAGTGATGTCATCAAAGTAATGTTTTAAAAGACTCCCTTTGGTGATTAATTGGAGAATGAAGTATGTAGGGACAAGAGTGGACGAGTGAGTCCTAGGATTAGATACTTCGGTGGCTTGGATGAGGATGATGAAAGTGGAAACAAAAGTGGATGGTTTTATGATATGTTTTAGAGGTAAACTTGTCAGAACTTGGTAATGAATTGGATATTGTGTGAGAGAGAGGCGAGAGTACGTTAAAGATGATTGGTTTCTGGCTTGAGCGGTTACGTGAGAGAAGGTGGGGAAAAGTGGAGGAAGAACACATTTATGGGATAAGATGAAACATTTGGGTTTGGGCTTGTTAGGTTTGAGATCTTTGTGAGACGTCCAAATGGTGATGTCGAAGAGCGAGGTGGCTATGGGAATCTGGAGCTCAGAACAAAAGCTGGAAGTGTTATACATCTGTGTATGGTCAGGTGTGGAGATGGGTCTCAAACCTGTAGGAATGGGTGAGCTTGTTTTAGGAGAAAGTGTAGCATAGGAGTGAAGGCCCATGGCTGGGCTTTGGAACCCCAACATTTGGAGACTGAATGGAGAAGGAGGAGGGAGCTGCCAGAAAGAGGGGGTGAAGGCAAAATGGAAGGAGGAGGGATCACAGAACCCAAGGAAACGGGCGTCCACTGAAATGCTCTTAGGGTATCTGTGAGTCTGCATTATCATAGAGCTGTGTCGTGAGCTTCAGCCTTCTGGAGCACATCATCCTCTCTTCAAAGTTGTTTGAAAGGAAACTTGAAAGAACTATGTATTGTTGTCATTGGAAATTTTATCCCAAGCCACACAAATACCTAATTCTACATCATTAGGATAACTTTTCCCCAATTCCTTTGCTCATGAGTATTCATTATTTTTACACCAACCATTTATTTTATTGATCTGTGTTTATTTTTATGGTCCCTGGCCTCTTCTCCCCTTCTTTTTTCTAGTCTTGCTAGGTCTCCTCTGTAAACATAAAAAAACTATTATTGGTAGCTCATTTTGTTTTGTTTTGTTTTGTTTTGTTTTGGCTTTTTTGGATGGTATTATTCTGTTTTTATGTATACAAAGTTTCCAGATTGTATATTATCATATCAAAGACACAAGATGCCAGCACATAGTGACCAGAAGAAAACCCTGGTAGGAAGCCAGTACAGAAGGTTCCAGTGTACCTGGGCCAGTGCAGAGTCCTGACACCTTGTCCACCAGCCCAGAGGCAGGGCTGGCTTGATGGGCACCTTCACAGGAGGTCTGTGCCTGAGCCAGGTCCACAGGGGCTCTCTGTGAATTGCCCAGCAGTATTCGCCTCTAACTCCGAATCATAGTCTTTCTGTCTCGGTCCTTGTTCAACTCTCTCTGGTTGCTGAGGCAGAAGGTAAAGATCTGTTTGGGCTGCGTGTTCTCACCATCATGGGATGGGGGTGGTGGCAGCCATGGGCTGCCCAGGAGTTCAGCATGGAAGAAGGGAGGCCTCAAGAGACCTGGCTGCCCATCACTCACTGCAGGCCTCGCCTACCAGCAGCAGTGGAGGCATGGGTCTCAGAGGCCCACAGTGGCTGTTGTGGTGCCACACACACATCTGTGTTCCAGGCTCTACAGCTATCTTTTCAGACTAATGTATCATTCCCAACCAGTACTTTTTTCTTCAAAATAAAATAATTCAGAATGTGATACATAGTATGAGCTACTTTGAAAAGACCCAAATGTAAGTCAGCTGCTTCTCTGAGGGCTGATGGAGGGCATCCCTTATGCTCAGACATGGAAGGTAAAACTTGACAGCGGGCAAGTGAACTTACTGGAGAAACTTATTGGTTGATATTATTAATTGTGATGGTATGGTGTAGACCCATGTGCCTGGTTATGTGACATTTCTCTAGCAATGCTCAGTTGAATGAATGTAGGCACAGAAAAGGTAGAATGTGTTCACTCAGGGTTGTGTTTGGCCAGCTGGGTGGGAAGAAGGACAGAGGGCAAGGGAGTTGAAGATGCCTACAAGAGAACCTTAGGACTCAAACCTGAGTAAGTATAGTGAAGAAAGGAGGTCGCTACTAGATTGGGTAGAAATTAGGGGCCAGTGGATTGATGATCTAGATAAAATGAAAGTTCCTTAGCAGTCTTTGAGCAAGTGAGGCAGAAGGATGGGGCATTTTTATCAGGGAGGGATGCCTGGATAAGTGGTTCCAGGGTGTGTGAGGTCACTACGGATGACCGAGGGGGGCAAGCAGGAGGGGAGTGCATCATGGAATTGAAGTGCATTACTGAGGTGGCCTGGAGGAAAAGGTCAAGGAACTCAGAGAATGGGGTGCTTCTTCGAGGTACCCCTGTGAGAACAGTGGTCATCTTGAATGAGGGCAGGAGGTGGAGAGGAGGAGAAGGCTAAACCACATGCCAGCATCTTTTCAAGGGGGATGAGAGGGCAGTGTAATCCCATGGCTTGGATCTCAAGGAAGGAAGGGTTTTTATAGGAAGGAGGATAGTAATGGTCTGGAAGTGGTGATGAGTAAGGATGATGCTGACCCCACTTTCTGGCCTGGGGTGTGAGAGAGGGAACAGACTCCACTTTGAGGGCTGTGGGTGGGGCGGGTTGGGTAGGGACATTGTCATTAGTGTATCACCAGGATTTGAAAAGGAGATGGATGTTCAGAGAAGTTGAAGATATGTGGACTTTTTGTTGCTCTTGTCTAGAATTCCACAGAACATAGTGGAGGAATTTAGGACGGAGAGAGGAGAGCCTTTGAGGGGCATTGAGTCAATTTAGTAGATGTTGGGATAAAGAAAGCTGGGGATAAGGGTTTGGGAGTTAACGGATGAAAGGAATGCTTGGCCTCTGAGCAAGGCCCGAAGTAAATAGTTGGTTGACTTGGTAGGCTTATCTCTGTGTTTTGGAAAGGGTTAAACTCATGGCAGTTGGTCCCAAAGACTACAACTTGGTGATTTGGTGACGGATAAATCAGTTGGGATTCATTCACATTAGGAACTCTGGATGTTGTACACAAAAGAGATGCTGGTTAGCCCTTCAAAAGAACTTTCCAGTAGTGACAGGCCAGTGGAGAATGAGGCACTAGCCAGAAGATGTTGGCCAGACTTTTCAGGAACTGTCAATACAGAAAACGCTGCTTTTCTCCTTGGGGGAAGGAGAGATTAATAGTTTGGCACAGGAGAAAGATAGATGTGTGAGAATTTTGCTCTGCTACCAATTCAGACTGATCTTTGGCAAGTCGATTATCTTCTCTGAGCTTAGTTTTCCCACTTACAAATCTAGGATTAGGCTAGTTGATTCCTAAGGCCACGTGATTTTGAAGGAGATACATTGATTTTAGTTGGACTGAAGAAGGAAGGGCATATCTTTGTTTCATTTCAGTTTTTTTTTTTTTTTTCTCCTCGCAGGTCAATGTCTTGTCTGGGTCCAGTGTTCCTCCCCAAACTGTGAGAAGTGGAGGCGGCTTTGTGGGAACATTGACCCCTCAGTGCTTCCAGATAATTGGTCCTGTGACCAGAATACAGGTAGAAAGGACTGGAGATTTTTTTCTTCTTTTTAGTTTTTAATGGTTCTTCCCCTTTCTCTGTATGTATCCCTTAGATTAAAGATGTCATAGATGTAGTTATAATTCCAGGGGTCTCTGTAGTGTTTGGGAGAGAGGAAGGGATCATTCTGTCATATCAAGATGAATCTGGCATAATGGGCTAGAAGCAGACACCCTGTAGAGTTATGTTGTGGGAATGGACTGGGATCTAAATGTAGATTCCAAGTGAATTCTCCATTCTTCAGTACTAGTCTGACCTGGTTGGTCTTGATTAGATTGTTGGTATTGGGTTGGTGGATAAGAAGGAATATGGGGCATATGGGGGGAAAGCAGGTGAGAGAGAATGTTAAACCACTAGAATGTTTGAAACTACTTGGAAGAGATTATGATGATCTAGCCTAGCCCAATTATTCTTACAGATGAGATAACAGAGTCTCCGAGAAATGACTGTCATGATGTTATGTAGATGGAAGCAGGGTCAGATAATATGGGATATAGGCAGAAGTTTGGAATCTCTGCAAAGTACAAGGAGGCAGCACTCCTCCTCTAGCTGTAGTTGCCTTTCCTCCAGGGGTCTTTGTTCTTCCTCCATGCCTGTCTCCCACCATGCCCGTCTCCCAGATGCCCTTTTGATTCCCACCTGCTGCATATTCTTGTCCTCTCTCCTGCCCATCCAGATTTTTCCCTGATGGGGTTCTTTCCTTCCCTTCATTCCTTCTCTCTTTTGCCAGACTCGAGGTATAATCGCTGTGACATCCCGGAGGAGTCCTGGACAGGGCGTGAGAGTGATGTGGCCTATGCCTCCTACATCCCAGGATCCATCATCTGGGCCAAGCAATATGGTTACCCCTGGTAGGGCACAATGGTATAGTCAGAGAACCCTTCATGAACTTGGAAGTGGTAGATTCAAGCAGAGAGGGAAGGAAATGGAGAGCACTTTTAACGCAGATGATACCTGCCTTAGAAAGAACATGGGATGAAGGAAGAGAGAAAGTACCAAGTCCTGGTGGGTTTGAAAGAATGCATTTTCTAGAGGTTTCACAGTGGAGGTGGTATCTCCCTGGAAAAAAAGTCTACCAATTCTACCCTGAGTGGGTAGAAAAAGGAAGGTGGCTTTAAGTCATTGTTTAAACATTGAGATATGACAGGTATATAAAGTAGAGAGAATGAAGAAGGGTAGGATAGTTTCTTCTTTAGAGATGTCCCTAATCAGAAGATTTTTTTCTCAGGGTTGGTGGAAGGCCTATTCCTACTAGGAAGAATTTGAGCTTCTTTGTACACTGATAGAGGTCACTTTAGTCATTTTGTAGACTATTCAGGGAGATCCACAAGGGGGTGATGTCCACCTTTGAGATCTTCCTTCCTTCCTTCCTTCCTTCCTTCCTTTCTTTCTTTCTTTCTTTCTTTTGCAAAATCTATTTCCCCTTTCTGTACATATGTATTGTTGAGTTTGTGTTGTGTTCTTCAAAACCCTTCCTCTTCTGTCCCTAAACCTGAGTGTCTTCCCCAGGTGGCCAGGCATGGTAGAATCTGATCCTGACCTGGGGGAATATTTTCTTTTTGCTTCTCATCTTGATTCCCTGCCGGTGAGTTTTCCTGGCTCAGGCCAGAGTAATGAGCAAATCCGTCCTAACTGGTGTACAGAGTTAGACATAGCCAGCAGACATCAGCAGGAATAGACACTTACCTAGAGTGACAAAAACAGAAATAACTACCCACATATAGAAATAAACTTGTATCTGATTAAATATTTAACCATTAGGGTGCCTGGTGGGCTCAGTTGTTAAGCTTCTGCCTTATGGCTCAGGTCATGATCCCAGGGTCCTGGGATGGAGCCCCGCATCAGGCTCCCTGCTCAGCGGGGAGCCTGCTTCTCCCTCACCTACTCCCCCTACTTGTGTTCCCTCTCTCTCTGTGTCTCTCTCTGTCAAATAAATAAAAATCTTTATAAAAAAATAAATATTTAACCATTACTAGGACATTTATTGTTCTGATAAATGTGCTTTGGTTAGGATTTCTGAGGTCAGGCTGGAAGCAGCAGGGTGAGGTGGACTAGTTGGGTCAGGTTTATGGCATCAGAGGAGGACCAGCACCTCCTTCCTTTTATGAATCCTCAGTTCTTCTACCACCTTTTCTGGCTAGAGGCCCAAAGCAAGGAGAAGGACTAGAGGCCATAAGAAAACCATTTTTTTTTAAATTTCAGTCTAAATACCACGTGACATTTTTTGGAGAAACAGTCTCTCGTGCCTGGATCCCAGTCAACATGCTGAAGAACTTCCAGGAGCTGTCCCTGGAGCTAGCCAAAATGGTAAAGCAATCCTTGGGGGTAACACAGGGAACCTGAAAACTGGATCTGTCCTTTATTTAACCTGATTTTCTCCCAGGGGAAGCTGTGTTGGGAGAAAGTCCCACGTCTGATCAAGTGTGCAAGAGTCAAGTTGTTCACGAGGGACTCTTCTTTCTACAAGGGCTGCAACAGGATAATGATTTTTCTTAGTCTCCTTCCTTGCCTGCAGGCAGGGAGTCTTCCTGAAGAGGGCAGTTTTCTACAGTTTAGTCCAGTCAGGTGTGGCGGAAATGAGAGCACATATCAACTTAGGGTTTCTCAGTCTTGGTACCATTGACATTTGGGGCCTGATAATTTTTTTGTTGTGGAGGCCTGGCTTATATATTTTAGCATGTTTAACAGCATCCCTGGGCTCTTCTGGCATCTAGCCAAGGGATGCTCCTGCCCCTGGCCTCAGTTGTGACCACCAAAAAACATTGTCTCTAAACATCACCAAATATCTTCTGGGAGGCAAAAACCTCCCCTGGTTGAGAACCAATGAATGAACTAAATAGTGTTTCCTGCCTATAAGCTCTTTGGTTTCAACCAGCCTTAGAAATGAACAGAGGTCCGGCAGCTCTGGGGGCCTTCAAAATCAGGCAGTATTAAACCAAGCATCTGGATTTGAAGAAGTTTGTGAGAAGCTTAACAGTGGAATCACTTGAGCTCCTTTAATCTTGCCTCTCCAAATGTACATGGGATTTACTGTGGAGAGGACACCAAAATATTGGTTGACTATATTGCTAGCAGTTGATAACAGGTTTGTTATGGGGAAATAAAGGGAGATTATGTCTCTAAGCTCAAAATATTAAGAATAGCAGTATCGTATCAATACCAGGAACTGGAAATAAACGTGTTTAAAGATCCTGTCTGGTGAGTAGCAGTATGTTGGAGTCACTTCTTTAATACTCATCATTGACTTTAATCGTCTTCTATTTCAGAAAAAGTGCAGGAACAAGGACTGCAACCAGAAGCTGGGAGCAGCCCTGTCGATGGCTCAAGAGGCAGAACAGATCAGTATTCAGGTGGGAGAGCGTTCCGACCACACACCTGCTCCACTTTGGGACTTGGGACACAAAGCAAACCATATACTCTGTACTACAGAAAAGCGGCTTGTCTTTCCCCATCATCCAGTCTTAGTCTTAGAATTAGTCTTTGCTTCCCAGGTCAGATTCCCTTGACTCCTTAAATCACTTACTCTTTCCCCTACCCTTGGACAAATAGAATCTTCTCTCATCCCACAGAGAGACATTTTGTAGTAGGAGGCATCCTACCTCCCTATTTAACTTTAGATCTGATGAATGTGTCTTAACCTCTCTTTTAAAAATGCAGGGTCAATGTTCATCCTCAAATTCTTCCTTTGGGGGGTATGGTGGAGAATGACAGACTGAATTATTTAAAAAAGTGGAAAAAAGAGGTTATATTAATATCGCATATAACTATATAATATAATATAAAAATGGAAAGATAATATTATAATAGTCGATCATCACAGAAATTGAGATAAATAGAACACAAAATTTCAGGTAAAAATGGTATAGAATATGAATATAAAGTCCATAACTAAAGTCTTAAAGGCAGAGGGCAAAAATTATCCCCAGGAGATAATGGTTGATGGTTTTGTTTCTTGGTTCCCTCAGGAACGGGTTAATTTGTTTGGTTTCCGGAGCCGATATAATGGATCTGACAGTAGTGGGGAAGGAAAAGGTAGGATCAGTAGGAGGATGAGGACTAGAGAGGAAGGTGAGGAGAGGACATAGAGAGGGAGGTCCTTCATGAGGGCAGCAACTGAACCTTTATTTTGTATCCAATGCCATCCACCTAGTTCTGGATTCTCTAATAGGAGGCTGTCCACAAATGCCATTGACCGAGTGTCTAGGGTGGATGGATGGACAGAGGGATGAGGGAAGAGAGGAATGGAGGAAAAAAGAGGGTGGGGAGGGTGGGTGCATGTTGAAGAGTGATGGGACTTTGGAAAAGGTGGAGCCGTGATACTCCAGGGCCATGTTTTATGGAGAAAAGACCACTGGGACATGAAAGGCAGAGTTAGAAGACTGCTTCTCTGGGTTTAGCGCTTTTAACTCATCGTCTAATTTATTGGATCAATTCTTTAGCCTTTCCTTCCTATTCCTGTTCTAGACTTAAGGCTCTCTGGGTCTAGCAGCCCAGATTCCTGCCTGGAGAAAGAAGAGGAAGATTCAGAGTTGGAGGCAGAGGAGTTGGAGGAGGAGGAAGAGAAAAAAGTAAGATTGATCTTGGGGATGGCTTTTAGGAGATTCCTGTAGGACATATGGTTGGCACTGGTTTCTATTTAGTAGGGAACCATCCTGTGCCTGCCTTAGGGTGGCGCTCACTAGCTGGTCTTATCTCTTAAGGGTCTTCAGGGAAGGAGACTCTCCTCTTTCCTCAGTTATTCTCTCTAATATCTCACATTTCCAGGAACTTATTTCTTGATTATCATCTCAGATCTTTTTTTAAAAAATTTTATTTATTTGACACAGAGAGAGAGATCACAGGTAGGCAGAGAGAGAAGGGGAAGCAGGCTCCCCGCGAGCAGAGAGCCTGATGCAGGGCTCGATCCCATGACCCCGAGACCATGACCTGAGCCGAAGGCAGAGGCCAAACCCTTTGAGCCACTGAGGCGCCCCATCACCTCAGATCTTAATGTAGTGGTTTGGTTCTTCCTGGAGCCATTTCAGAGAATAGCAGTTTGCCTCTCTTCACTCTCTGTCTCCCTTGTGTGGACCCTTAATCTTACGTGGCTTAATATTCATTCACTTGCCTCCTTATGCTTTTTTTTTAAACGTATGAAATATAGATTTAAATTTTTTTTTAAAGATTTCTTTATTTGAGAGAAAGACTGTGTGTGTGTGGGACAGAGTGGCAGAAAGAGAGGGAGAGAGAATCCCAAGCAGATCCCGTGCGGAGGGGGAGCCCAATGCAGGGCTTGATCTCATGACCCTGAGATCGTGACCTGAGCCAAAACCAAGAGTTGGATGCTTTAACCGACTGAGCCACCCAGGCACCCGAGCCTGAAATACAGATTTTTAAAAAGTACTTAAAAAGACTTTTTTTTTTAATATTTTATTTATTTATTTGACAGAGATCACAAGTAGGCAGAGAGGCAGGCAGAGAGAGAGGAGGAAGCAGGCTCTCCACTGAGCAGAGAGCCCGACGCGGGGCCCCATCCCAGGACCCTGGGATCATGACCTGAGCTGAAGGCAGAGGCTCAACCCACTGAGCCACCCAGGCACCCCTTAAAAAGACTTTTTTAAAGGGTGGTTTTAGGTTCCCAGCAAAATTGAGAGAAAAGTACAGGGAGTTCCCATATGCCTCCTGCCTGTACACATGCATAGCCTTTCCCATTATCAACACTCCCAGCAGAGTGGTGTGTCTGTTTGTTGATGAACCTACACTGGCACATTGTAATCACCCAAAGTCCATTGTTTCCATTAGAGTTCAATCTTGCAGTTGTTATATTCTGTGGATTTGGACAAATATAGACAATATGTGTACATCACTGTAGCATCATACAGAATATTTTCACAGCCCTAAAAATCCCGTGTGCTGTACGTATCCACCCCTCTCCCTGCAAGCCCTGGCAATACCTGATCTTTTTATTGTCTCAGTAGTTTTGCCCTCTCAAGAACGTCATACAGCTCGAATCATACATGTATATCCTTTCCAGACTGGTTTCTGAGAAATATACATTTAAGTTTCCTTTGTGTCTTTTCATGGTTGGATAGCTTGTATCTTTTTTTTTTCCTCTGAATTTTTCCATTTTCTGGATGTACCATATTTATTTATCCATTCACTTACTGAAAGACATCTTCGTTGCTTCCAAATTTGGACAATTATGAATAAAGCTGCTATGAACAGCTGCATATAGGTTTTTGTGAGAACATAAGTTTTCAGCTCCTTTGGGTAAATACCAAGGAGCTTGATTGCTTGGATTGTATGGTAAGAGGATGCTTAGTTTTGTAAGAGAACAGACTGTCTTCCAAAGTGGCTATACCATTTTGCGTTCCTATCAGCACTGAATGAGATTTTTTTTTTTTTATTTGACTGAGAGAGAGATGAGAAGTAGAGAGGCAGGCAGAGAGAGAGGGGGGACGCAGGCTCCCCACTGAGTAGAGAGCCCAATGTAGGGCTTGATACCAGGACCCTGAGATCATGACCTGAGTGGAAGGCAGAGGCTCAACCTACTGAGCCACCCAGGCGCCCCTGAATGAGATTTTTTGTTGTTTTACATCCTTGCTAGTATTTGGTGTTATCAGTGTTCCAGATGTTAGCCATTCTAATAGGTGTGCAGTGGTATTTCATTGTTGTTTTAATTTATTTATTTTTAAAGATTTTATTTATTTATTTGACAGAGAGAAAGATCACAAGTAGGCAGAGACAGGCAGAGAGAGAGGGGGAAACAGGCTCCCTGCTGAGCAGAGAGCCCGATGTGGGGCTCCATACCAGGACCCTGGGATCATGACTTGAGCTGGAGGCAGAGGCTTTAACCCACTGAGCCACCCAGGCGCCCCTCATTGTTGTTTTAATTTGCATTTCCCTGATGACATATGATCTGGAGCATCTTTTCATATTCCCATTGGCCATATCTATATTTTCTTTGGTGATGTGCTCACTAAAGTGTTTGGTCCATTTATTTAATTGGGTTATTTTCTTTATTGTTGAGTTTTATGAGTTGTTTGTGTTTAGATAACAGTCCTCAATCAAATGTGTCTTTCACCAATATTTTCTCCCAGTTGGTGGCTGGTTTTCTCATTCTCTTGACATTGTCTTTTGCAGAACGGACGTTTTTAATTTTAATGAGGTTAGTCTATTAATTGTTTCTTTCTTGGATCATGCCTTTGGTGTTGTATATAAAAAGTCATTGCCATACCCAAGGTTATCTACCTTTTCTCCTATGTTATTTTCCAGGAGTTTTATAGCTTTACATTTTTACATTAGATCTATAATACATTTTGAGTAAATTTTTGTGAAGGGTGTAAGGCCTATGTCTAGGTTCATTTTTTTGCATGTGGATGTCCGGTGTTTCAAGCGTATTTGTTGAAAAGACTGTCATTGCCTTTGCTTTCTTGTCAAAGATCAGCTGACTGTTTTTATGTAGGTCTATTTTGGGGCCCTCTATTCTGTCCCATAGACCCCCCCCTTTTTTTTTTTTGCCAATTCTACATTGTCTTGATTACTGTCACTTTATAATAAGTCCTAAAGTTGGCTAGGGTCAGTCCTCCGGCTTTGTCCCTCTTCAATATTGTGTTGGCTATTCTGGGTCTTTTGCCTTTCCATATAACTGTAGAATCAGTTGTTGATACCTACAAAATAACTTGGTAGGATTTTGTTTGGAATTGCATTGACTCTATCAAGCTGGGAGACATTAACTGTTGACAATAATGAACTTTTCCTATCCACAAACATGGAGTATCTATTTAATTCTTTGATTTTATTAATGAGAATTTTTGTAATTTTGCTCATATAGATCTTGCACATATTTTGTTAAAATTATACCTAAGTATTTAAATTTTTTGGTGCTACTATAAGTGGTATTGTGTTTTTAATGTCAAATTCCACTTGTTCATAGCTAGTATATAAGAAAGTGATAGACTTTTATATATGAACATGCAGTCTACTATTAACGTTTGTTAATTAATTCTCTTGGATTTTGGTTGATTCTCTTGGATTTTGGTTGATTCTCTTGGATTTTCCTATTTGGTGATTATGTTATCTGCAAACAAAGACAGTTTTACAGTTGATCCTTGAACCGGTTTGAACTATGTGGGTCCACTTATAGGTGGATTTTCCTCCCATAAATATAGTGCAGTGTTGTAAATACATTGTCTCTTCCTTATGATTTGAATATTTTCTTTTCTCCACCTTTATTGTGAGAATACGGCGTATAATACATATAATGTACAAAATACATGTGAATCATCTGTGTTATTGGTAAGGCTTCCAGTCAAGAGTAGGCTATTAGTAGTTAAGTTTTGGGGGAGTCAAAAGTTATGTACAAATTTTCCATTGTGTGAGGGGTCAGTACCCCAACCCCTGCATTGTTTAAGGGTCAACTGTATTTCTTCCCAATATCTATATCTTTTATTTCTTTTTGTCTAACTACATTACTTAGAACTTCCAATTTGATGTTGAAAAGGATTGATGAGAGGGAACATCCTTCCTTTGTTCCTGATCTTAGGGGGAAGTCTTCTAGTTTCTCAGCATTAAGTATGATATTAATTTTAGGTTTTTTTTTTAAAGATTTTATTTATTTATTTGACAGAGAGAGAGAAAATGAAAGAGATCACAAGTAGGCAGAGAGGCAGGCAGAGAGAAAGGGAGGAGCAGGCTCCCTGCTGAGCAGAGAGCCTTATAGGGGGCTTGATCCCAGGACCCCGAGACCATGACCCAAGCCGAAGGCACAGGCTCAACCCACTGAGCAACCCAGGCACCCCCAATTTTAGTTTTTTTTGTAGATGTTCTTTGTCAAGTTGAGGAAGTTACCCTCTCTTCCTTGTTTACTGAGAGTTTCAACCATGAATGGGTATTGGATTTTGTCAAACACTTTTTCTGTATCTATTGTTATGATCATGTGATTTTTCTTTTTTAGCCCACTAATGTGATGGATTACATTCATTGATTTTTCAAATGTCAGACAAGTCTTGCATGCATTGAATAAATCCCATTTGTTCATGGTATATATATACTTCTGTTTGAACATTGTTGGATTTAATTCAGTAATATTTTGTTGAGGATTTTTGTATCTCTTTTCATAAGATACATTGGTCCGTGGTTTTCTTGTAATGTCTTTGTCTGGTTTTGGTATTCAGGTAATGGTGGCCTCATAGAATTAGGAAGTATTGTCTGCTTCTTTTCTCTGAAAGAGGTTATGGAGAATAGGTATAATTTCTTCCCTAAATGTTTGGTGGAATTGAACCAGTGAACCCATAAGTCTGGTGCTTTCTGTCTTGGAAGGTTGAGTACTAGTTACTGATTCAATTTTGTTAATATATATAGACCTATTCAGATTGTCTGTTTCTTCTTATGTGAATTTAGACAGATTATATCTTTTAAGGAATTGGTCCATTTCCTCTTGGTTATCAACTTTGTTTGCATAGAATTATTTGTAGTAATCCTTTATTATCCTTTTAATGTTCATGGACTCTGTAGTATATTTTCCAATATTAGTAATTTGTTTCCTCTCTCTTTTTCTTAGTGTGACTAGAGGCTTATCAGTTTTATTGATCTTTTCAAAGAATGAGCTTTTTTGTTTCATTGATTTTCTCTACGAATTTCCAGTTCTCATAACCTCATCAATTTCTGCTCCAATTCTTATTATTTCTTTTCTTCAGCTCGCTTTGGATTTAACTTACTCTTCTTTTTCTAGTTTCCCAAGGCTGAAACTTAGACTGCTGATTTTAGGTCTTTCTTCTTTTCTAATGTATGTGTTCAGTGCTAAATTTTCCTCTAAGTACTGCTTTTGTTGGGTCCCACAAATTTTAATAAATTGTTTTCTTTTTCATTTAGTTTATATTTTACATTTCATTTAGTTCAGTATTTTAAAATTTCTCTTGTGATTTCTTCGTTGACCCTTGTGTTACTTAGAAGTGTGTTTTTTAGGGGCGCCTGGGTGGCTCAGTGGGTTAAGCCTCTGCCTTCGGCTCAGGTCATGATCTCAGGGTCCTGGGATTGAGCCCCACATCGGGTTCTCTGTACGGCAGGGAGACTGCTTCCCCGTCTCTCTCTGCCTGCTGCTCTGCTTACTTGTGATCTCTCTCTCTCTCTCTCTGTCAAATAAATAAAATCTTAAAAAAAAAAAAGAAGAGTGTTTTTTAATCTTTATTATTTGGGGACTTTTTAGTTATCTTTCTGTTACTGATTTCCAGTTTAACTCTGTTGTGGTTTGGGAGCAGACACTGTATGATTTCTATTCTTTTAAGTATGTTAAATTTTGTTTTATGGCTCAGAATGCGATCAGTCTTGGTGAATGCTCCATGTGAGCTTGAGAAGAATATGTATTCTGCTGTTGTTGAATATAACAAAGTAATGTGTAGATGTTACTTTTATCCAGTTGATCGGTACTGTTGTTGAGTTCAACTATATCCTTCCTGATATTCTACCTGTGTCCATTTTTGTTTTCCATTCTTTTCCAGCCAAGTGTTTGGGTTTTTTAAAAAGATTTTATTTTTTAACTAATCTCTACACACAATGTGGGTCTTGAACTTACAATCCCCAAGATCAGGAGTCTCATGCTCTACCAGCTGAGCCAGGCAGGCACCCCCCCCCGCAAATGGTTTTTTCTCTTGTTTTGTTTTGTTTTGTTTTTAGAGAGAGAGAGAGACAGTGTGTGTGCAAGTGGTGGGGAAGGGCAGAGGGAGAGGGAGAGAGAGAATCTTAAGCAGGGTACATGCTCAGGGTGGCCCCCGACTTGGGGCTTGATCTCATGACCTTGAGATCATGACTTGAGCCAAAACATGAGTTGGATGCTTAACCGACTGGGCCACCCAGGTGTCCCTCCCCACCCCACAAGTGGCTTTAACTGAGCATTTTATATGATTCCATTTTCTCCCCTTCCTTAGCATATCAAGTAAGGTGTTCTTTTTCTTTGGCTTCTTCCAAGGCTTTTATTTTTTCCTTTTTTTTAAAGTTATTAAATTCCAGGGGCGCCTGGGTGGCTCAGTAGTTAAATCCTCTGCCTTCGGCTCAGGTCATGATCTCAGGGTCCTGGGATCGAGTCCCGCATCGGGCTCTCTGCTCAGCAGGGAGCCTGCCTCCTCCTCCTCTCTCTCTCTGCCTGCCTCTCTGCCTGCTTGTGATCTGTCTGTCAAATAAATTAAAAAAAAAATCTTTAAAAAAAAGAAAAAAATTCTTAAAAAACAGTTATTAAATTCCAGTTAGTTAACATACAGTGTAATAGTAGTTTCCGGTGTACAATCTAGCGATTCAGCACTTCATACATCATCAGGGCTCATCACAACAAGTATACTCCTTAAACCACAGGGCTTTTTCTTTATCTTTGATTTTCTTTTCTTTTTTTTTTTTTTTAAAGATTTTATTTATTTATTTGACAGAGAGAGATCACAAGCAGGCAGAGAGGCAGGCAGAGAGAGAGGAGGAAGCAGGCTCCCTGCTGAGCAGAGAGCCCGATGCGGGACTCGATCCCAGGACCCTGAGATCATGACCTGAGCCGAAGGCAGCGGCTTAACCCACTGAGCCACCCAGGCGCCCCTGATTTTCTATAGTTTAAAATAACACACCTGTATGGGGCTGTTTGGCATTTATCCTCTTGGTGTTCTCCAAGCTTCCTGAATCTGTGGTTTGGTGTCTGACATTAATTTGATAAGCTTCTCAGTCATTATTGCCTTTAGTATTTCTTGGGTTTCTTTCTTTTTTCCTTCTCCTTCTGGTATCCCCATTGTGCATACGTTACACATTTTACAGTTGTCCCACAATTCTTGTATATGATGTTCTTTTTTTTTCTTTTCAGTCTTTGTTTTCTTTGCTTTTCAGCTTTGAAGGTTTCTGTTGAGATAACCTCAAGCTCAGGAATTCAGTCTACTAATAAGCCCACCAAAGGCATTTTCTTTATTTCTATTACAGTGTTTTTGATCTCTAGCACTTCCTTCCTGTTCTTTCTTAGGATTTTTTTTTTTTTTTAAGATTTTATTTATTTATTTGACAGATCACAAGTAGGCAGAGAGGCAGGCAGAGAGAGAGAGAGAGAGGAAGCAGGCTCCCCGCTGAGCAGAGAGCCCAATGCGGGGCTCGACCCCAGAACCCTGAGACCATGACCTGAGCCGAAGGCAGAGGCTTAACCCACTGAGCCACCCAGGTGCCCCTCTTTCTTAGGATTTTTATCCTTCTGCTTACATCACCCATCTGTTCTTGCATGCTACTTTATCCATTAGAGCCCTTTACATTTTAATCATCTTTGATTTCATTCCAATCTGATAATTCCATGCCATATCCTGTTTTGATATTTGTTCTGTCTGTTCAAATTGTGGGTTTTTTAAAAGATTTTATTTATTTATTTGACAGAGAGAGAGATCGCAAGTAGGCAGAGCAGCAGGCAGAGAGTGAGGGGGAAGCAGGCTCCCCGCTGAGCAGAAAGCCTGATGCGGGGCTCAATCCCAGGACCCTGAGATTATGACCTGAGGCAAAGGCAGAAGCTTAACCCACTGAGCCACCCAGGCAGGCCCCCCACCTTTTTTTTTTGCCTTTTGGTGCGCCTTGTAGTTTTTTATTGATTGCTAGACACAATATACCAGGTAAAAGAAATGGTTGTAAATATGCCTTTATTTATTTATTTTTAGATTTATTTATTTATTTTGGAGGGGGAAGAGGAGAAGAGCACCAGTGAGGGTAGGGGCACGGGGAGAGAGAATCTTAAGCAGACTTTCTGCTGAATGTGAAGCCTCAGTCGGGCTTGATCCCACAACCCTGAGATCATGACCCAAGCTGAAACCAAGTGTCAGATGCCCAACAAACTGAGCTACCCAGGTATCCCTAAATATGCCTTTAGTAGTGTGATGGTAAGGTCAGGGGAGGGGATGTGTTCTGTGGTCCTACTACTATGTCTCATGTCTTTTTTCTTTTTTAAAACATTTTACTTATTTAAGTAATCTCTACACTCAGTGTGGGGCTTGATCTCGCAACCCTGAGATCAAGAGTTATATCCACTTCTAACTGAACCAGCCAGGCAAACCTAGATCTCATGTCTTTGAATGAACCCATGCTTTGGACTGTGAACTTCGTGGTGTTTCTTAGTGTTTTCCCCCCTATTAGGTGGGACAGAGTGGCTAGAGTGGCAGGGGTTAAATATTTCTCTTCCCCCTGGACAGTCAGTCTCTGATAATATCTTGGTAGATCAGGCTATGGTTAACTAGTTTCTCCTGAGAAAAGGCCTGTTTCAGAAGAATAGAGTGCTCGCCTATATTTCAAAATGTTGCCTTTGCTCTTCCTTCTGCCGGAAGCATGAAGGGATTTCTCTCTGATATTTTCTGTGAGAGCATGGTCAGACTCCTGGAGGTCAAACCCACAAAGGTCTGGAAGCCACTGTAAGACTGGGCAACACTGGTGTTTTTAACTCCCATACTTGTCTGCACTGAACAATTTATTTAGTACTGTTGAGGTTTTCCTGCGCTGGAACTGGTTCTTGTGGGAAGTGCTGGTTCTTCTGCTTCTGAGTCTGTGCCCTGATAAGGTATGACTTCCTACATTTGCCTCTCTGTCTCTTTAGTCTTGAGGACAGCGGTTTGGTGGCCCTGTGTCCTCTCCCCACCTTTTTTTTTAAGATTTTAATTCTTTATTTGTCAAAGAGATCACAAGTAGGCAGAGAGGCAGACTGGGGGAAGCAGGCTCCCTGCTGAGCAAAGAGCCTGATGCGGGGCTTGATCCCAGGACCCTGAGATGATGACCTGAGCCAAAGACAGAGGCTTAACCCAGGTACCCCGTTCTCTCTTTTTTTTTTTTTTTTTTTTTAAGATTTTATTTATTTATTTGACAGACAGAGATCACAAGTAGACGGAGAGTCAGGCAGAGAGAGAGAGGGAAGCAAGCAGGCTTCTTGCTGAGCAGAGAGCCCGATGTGGGACTCGATCCCAGGACCCTGAGATCATGACCTGAGCTGAAGGCAGCGGCTTAACCCACTGAGCCACCCAGGCGCCCCCCCCGTTCTCTCTTTGATCAAAATAAAAAGAGTTGTTGATTTTTCAGTCTGTTCAGTTTTTTTACTTGTTGTTAGAGTGATGACTTCTAAACCTCTTACACGTAGAACTGGAAACTGGAAGTCCTGAAAGAGGGTTTTTTTTTTACTTTCTCTTTTAATTATTTTTTTGTTGAGGCAAAATTGGCCTATAACTGTAGGTTTCAGGGGTACAACATTATAATTTGAAATCTATATCTACTATGAAGTGATCAACATTTAAAGAGTCTAGTCATTTATTTGATTTTTAATAGTTTTTTTTATCATGTTCATGGCCTAACTTTCTTTCTCTATAAAGCTTTGTACTGATCAATACCAAATAGAATGGAAAGGAGAACAGTTTTATCTTTGTTGTCATTGATTTAAACAGGATCAAGCTACAGAACTCAATTTGACTCCCCTAACCACTCATCATTTCCATAGCATCCCAGTCTATTAAAAACACTAATTATATGACTTCATTTATATTTTCTTATTTTTCTCTCCCATTCTTAGGACCCAACTTTGCCCAGTCCCAAGCCAGCCAAAATTCAGACCAAAAAACCCAAGGCAAGAGGTAAGCAAGCCAGCTGGGAACAGGTACGTGGTACCATTGAGGCAGAGCAGAAGCAGACAGTGGGAGGGGTCTGCAGGTCACTGGATCTTACTGGCTGTCTCAGCTCTAAAATCTGCAAAAATGGTCAAGAATCCTACTAGTGTCATCAGGGAAGCTGTAGCCTCCTTGCTTCTCTGTTCTGATTATAAAATCTTAGGTTAAAGGTGGAATGAATGTCTTAAATTCTTAGCCAGGTGGGATGACTTCCTGGAGGAAGGAGGCTATGAGGAAAAACATAAGGTGAAGAAGGTCCAGGACCAAAAAAAGAAGGGGGGCAGTTGGAGAGAGAGAGAGAGAAATATTTGGGGAAAAGGAAGGAACCGAGAGAACGCCCTTGATTGAGAATGAGCAGAGGACGCAGGCAGAGACTAACTGAGGGGAGTCTATGGACACTTGCTGAGCTGTCATTTGGAGGGAAATAAATATCCTTCATGGTTGGGGTGGGGTGATGCAGGCCTAGCAAATGGACGAGATGGGACCCTGCAAAAGAAGACAATGAAGAGATCTCTGGGAAATGAATCTGCAGCTCCTCCTGTATCCGTAATACGAAGGAAAGAGGGGCATGGGAAACCGGAGCCTGACCAGCCAGGTAAGGCTCAGGGCCTGGGCAGAACTATGGGAGATGAGGTTCAAGTCTGTGTCTCCCCTCCCTCGATCATTTCTTAACTTTATAGTTCCTCACTACTTTTTTTTTTTAAAGATTTTATTTATTTATTTGAGAGAGAGGCAGTGAGAGAGAGCATGAGCGAGAAGGTCAGAGGGACAAGCAGACTCCCCGTGGAGCTGGGAGCCGGATGCGGGACTCGATCCCGGGACTCCGGGATCATGACCTGAGATGAAAGCAGTCGTCCAACCAACTGAGCCACCCAGGCGTCCCAATTCCTCACTACTTTTAAAAAGAACAAAAATTAGGGGCGCCTGGGTGACTCAGAAGTTAAGCATCTGCCTTCGGCTCAGGTCATGATCTACAGGTCCTGGGGGGGGGTGATCTTCAGCTCAGCAGGGGTCTGCTCCTCCCTCTCCCTCCTTGTGCTCTCTCTGTCTGTCTGTCTGTCTCTTTCTCTCAAAGGAATAAAATCTTAAAAAAAAAAAATTAGGCATCTCAGATTGGAGAGTGTAGCACACCTGTAGAAACATAATGGTTATTGATGGATTTGATCTAAGGACAGGACAATGGTGAGGAGGGGGGACCTGACATTTGTTGAGTATTGCTGTGAGCTGGCTAGGTAGATACTCCTTGCTGGTTCTCTTTAATTCTTTCAATATCTCCATGGCTGGACAGTTGCTATTTTAGAGATAAGGGGACTAAGGCCCCAAAGGGTTTAAAATTTGCTCAAGACTCATGACTAGCATATGTCTGGATCCATTACTTGAATCCAGGTCTTTCTAACACCAAAGCCCATTTTCTTTCTGTTGAGAACAGGCCTCTTTCCCAGAGACCTTTATGGAAATAGGAATTTAGGAGTTTGACTTGTAAAATCTCACAATGGCCTAATAGGACTCTCAGTTTCATCACTTTTTCATCCAGGCCCTAAGAAAAAATTTAAAGCTCCTCAAAGCAAAGCCTCAGTAACCAGCTTGTCTGAGGACGAAGAAGCTAGAATGGTACCAAAGGACCTGACCCCACCAGCTCATCGTGGGTCCTGTCCCGTGGTGGGGAAGGAAGGCTGGAAGTGTCCTCAGGAGGCTGGAGGTGTCCCCCCTGACGATGACGCCTCCAGTGACCTGGACCTGGAGCAGTTCCTGGAAGATGTTGGGATAGAGCCAGAGCGGCTGGAGGAGCCGTGGTGTGGAGATGCCGCCGGGGAATTCACCTTGGCCTTCTTTGAGGAATAGCTGTGTGCGCCGGGTCCCTGCTGCTCTGCAGGGGGAACCCCTCAGAGGGTCCCTGAGAAGCTGCTAAGTGTGGGGCTTGGTCACTGGCTACAGGTCAACTGGCCGAAGTCCTAGCTGTGCAGTTCCCGTGTTAATAAAACAGGTTACCGCTCTCCACAGCTGGTCTCTAACCCCGTGCTTCCCTTCGGCTTCCCTCCCTCCCCTCCGCTCCCTGGGGCACGTCCCTGTGTCTGTGGGAGGCTGGCACAGTCTGAGGGATCTGGGAAGGCCCAGACGCCTGAGTCCTGGGAGAAGGCCGTCGTCAGGGAGGGCAGGTCTGGGTTCAGACCCCGGCTCAGCCACTTACTAGGCGTGTGGCCTGGAGAAAAGCGCTAATCATTGTGGTCCTGTTCACGGCTTGGGTGAGCGCATCCAGTCTGGGCTCAGCTTGTTGGAGGCACCTAAATGAGGTGGTGCGCTTGGCACGTGCGTGCTCGTTCTGATCAGAGGGGAAGGGGAATGCGTAGAGGAGGGGCAGACCCTGGATTCTGGGCTGGCTACCAACATCGGGGTTTATTGTGTCCCGCCCGGAGGCAGTCACCAAGTCCAGTACTGGGGGAGGGATCTTGGGTGTGACCTTTTATTATAATTCATTCGTGGTGAGAAGGAGAAGACAGAAACGGAAGGAGCCATCAGTTTTCCCCTTAGATGCCTTCGGGCAAATTCTACCAGTCTTTTGACTCTTGTGGGCAAGGGCTGGGAAGGTGGAGAGGGGGTTGGAGCAGATGGCTCTGTCTCTCTGTGGTCCTTGGAGGCCTTCCACACCCACTGGCTTCTGAGTCTTCCAGTCTGGCCGGGGTCATTATCAGAGGCTGTGACCCGCCGGGCAGCTCAGTCTAAGGAAGTCATCCTCCAGTCCCACTCGTCAGGCCTTTATGAGAGAATATAGGGTCTCCTCCTGGGGGACCTCCTTGGGACGGAGGTGGGGAGGTGCTGCTGGTGATGAGGAGTTGGAGAGGGTAAGGGAGGCATAGAGGATGGGATTGTCCTGGGCTTCATCCTGGTGAGAAGGAAGGAGAAGGGGGTGAGACAGTGGAAGGGGAGCTGTCCCCACCTGAGAGCAGTAATCTGGCACCTGAGTATTCACCAACACTACGTGCAGTCCCTCTATTCCCTTCACCCCACCTTCTCCAAACTTTTCTTTCTTTTTTTAAAAAAAGATTTATTTATTTATTTGACAGAGAGAGATAGATCACAAGTAGGCAGAGAGGCACAGAGAGAGGGGGAGGCAGGCTCCCTGCTGAGCAGAGAGCCCGATGCAAGGCTCGATCCCAGGACTCTGGGATCATGACCTGAGCCAAAGGCAGAGGCTTAACCCACTGAGCCACCCAGGCGCCCCCAAACTTTTCTTTAATTCCTTCAGGCCATAGTCTGAGATGCTTACCTTGGGCTCCAGGTTGGGCTCCAGCCGGGGCTCTGTTTGTTGTCCTAGAAAAAAATCAAGGTGTGCTGGGGTCAGGTGCCTACAGCCAGGGTAGAGAAATGGGCTGGAGCCTCCAGCAGTGAGGTCATCTGCTGTGTCAGGACCAGGGTCAGGACTAGGGATGGGTGGGGCATGTGTGTGAGCAGGGAGTGTGTAGGGAAGGATAGGACTGATGGCAGTAAGAACTCACTTTTAATCCCGATGTTCTCATACTTCTCCTCAGTGTTTTGGAAGGATCCCCTGTATAAGAAGGAGAGGGCAGAATGTGGGTTAGAGGCTGGACAGAAGAGAGTTCAAACCTGTGTGGGGCTGGTTCTCTGTGTATGCATGTGTGTATGGGCGGGGAGGGGCACTGGGACTGCCTGACACTCTGAGGTGAGCTCTGTTTTGAGGCTGGCAGGTGTCCTGGATTATCCGAGAGGCAGTTTGCAGTGTAACCAGTAGAGGTCCCACAGGCCTATTGAAGGCCCATGGTCCTGGAGAAGCAGCTTTGTTGGAAGAGCCTTAGGAAGGGTGAAGTCTTGTCTTGCCCTGTGGTTGTTGGTACAAACTAGAGAATGAATACCAGCTCTACCCACCTCAGGTCTTCTGGTGGGTGCCCAGGCCAGAGGGGAGAGAGGGGAGGGAAGGGGCTGGAGAGAAGGACAGAAGTCCAGAAGATGGGCTGGAGGGACAGGGAGGTGGGAAGGTAAAGAGGAAGAGGGCTCCAGAGGGAGGGAGGGAGGCGAGGTTAAGAGCTGAGGAGGGAAGTGGCTCGGAGAAAAGAGACACCCCCTGGGAAAGGACCAGGAGAGTGGAGTGACAGAGGCCCTGTGCCCTTCCCATAAGGAACTTCCCTATTTCCCAAGAGGGACAAGCACTCACTTGGGTACTGCTCTGGCGTTAGTCTTCAGACCTGTAGGGGAACAGCGGCATGTTAGGGTGCCATCCATAGAGAGCACCTCTCCTCCCTGCCTTCCTGCTCTGTGTGCTCTGAGACCAACCTCCAGAGAGACCAGGGCAGTGGAGCTGCTCTGTTGGACCCACCTGGGACTCAGAGTAACACCTGCTGGCATCCTGAGGCTGCCCAACCCTGTCCTGTGGTTGTCAACACCAAATCAGGAGAGCAGCTCTTGCCTGCATCGTCTTTCTCTCCCAACCTCAATTTTTCTGTTTGTTTCCTTACCCCTTGCTTGAATTCCCCAAGCATCCCTCAACCTTGCTCCTTCTACTGCCAAGGCCCTGCCCACCCATCCCTTCCTTCCACCTTGTCTCAGACCCACTGCTTCCTCCTATCCTGAAACACTGGCTTTTTGTGTTTTCCTGAGTAGTATTTTTTTCTCTCCTGCCTTGTGAGCCTCATGGCTGGGACCTGGGTCTGAGCTGCAGCCCATTCCTCTCCACCCTCCACCACTGAAACCTGCCAGTCTCCCCACCCCCCTCTTCCCTTCTCATCCCCCCGAGTCTTTTTGCGGCATTTCCCAAGGATTGACCCCTGCATCACAGACATGCCCTCCACCACCCAACACCATCCTGGAAGGTCCCACCATCCACGGAGACAACCCTCTGGACACACGGGACTCCTACGTCCCCCAAACTCCAGGACCCTCCCTTCTGCCATACCCTGGACTTTTTTTTTTTTTTTTAATCTCTTGGACTGAGAACTCTGATATATTAAATGCCAGCATCATTTCTATGCTACAACTTTCTTTCCTTCCAGCTTTCTCCTATTATCATCCTGCTTGCTATGCCTGCGCTTTGACCCCATGAACTCTTGTCCCTTAATAATCCACTTTCTTTCAGGCTATCCAAGCTCCCTGCTGATCCTCTCCTCTTCATTCCCCCTCTCACGAGCTCCTTGACCCCTCCTGTTCCCCTGTCCTTAGGCCACACTTAGCTGACACATCTCTAATTCTGGATGAGGCCTATGACAGCGGACGCTCTTTGCTTACCCAATTTCCATTTATTTCTTTGTACTCAGTTACAGAACCTTGGTTTTATTTGGGGTGGCAGTGTGCTCCACTGATAGATGTGGGGAAAATGACTGCATCCTCGCCAATACGATTCAAGGGGAAGTTGTGGGTACGATTTTCAGGAAGACTGACTAAAGGACAAACAGTTGCAGCATGGTCTTTTTGTCCTTTCTTCCTTCCTCCTGTTTCCTGCCTGGATTCAGAAATGATGGCTGGACTCTAAGCAGCCATCTTGGATCATGAGGCAACCTTCAGGACAGAAGCCAGTAGCTAGGACAGTGAGCAGGAAGCTAGAAGCCTGAGTGCCTGAGGACAGCAGCCTCTGCCATCTGCTTCCTCATCCTTTTCTATGAGGGGAAACAAGGAACTCTGTCTTAGGTAAACCCTGTTACTTTTCATCTCTGATGCCAGCAGGGAAACATAACTTCTAACCAACACGTTCTAGAAGTTTCTACACCTGCACGGGGGGGACATGATCATGCGCAGTGATGTTTTTACAGAGCTCTGGCATCTCATCTGGGTGGAATCCTGAAATACCATCTTCTGTTCCCTCAGTGACTGTCACAGCTCTTCCTCTCCGACCCTCAGCCTCACTCTAGAGACAACTGTTGTGACTTTTCCTCTGCAGAATGAAGAGCAATTTGTATATGTTGAGTTTGTCAATAGTTTTCTTCATGGATTTTAGGTTTTACGTCATACTTAGGGAGGCCATCTCCACTGCATGGACATGAGATGGTCTCACATGCTTTCCTCCAGTATGGGGTTATTTTCCCCCTCATTTAACTCTTTGATTGATCTCTGTGGAAGTTATTTTGGTGCGAATTATGCGATAATATTATTTTCTCCAGATGGCTGCTCACTTGTTCCAGCACCATGTACTGAATGACTCTCATCTTTCCCCATTGATTAGAAATGCTGCTTATTAGACTACTAAATTCCTGAACATATTTTGATCTGTTTCATCCTGCCTATATTGGGGCTTTTCTCTTCTCGGATATTGGTTTATCTGTGTTTTCATAGGACAGGATCAAATCATTTTAATCATTACAGTTTAAAATTGCAGGCACTAATGCTCATATGGTCCTTATTCTGTGCCAGGATCTACTCTCGATGCGTTACATGTGATTGTCATGACAACCCCCCGGGTGAGTGTTATTACTCTTCTCATTTTACCGACGAGTGCGCTGGGGCAGAGAGTAATAGTACCATTGCACCGGAGTTTCCGCAGCC